TCTGAGTCTCCATTATCAAATTACACAAGCATTCCTTAATCTTGTCTCTATGGACTGACATATCAACAACATTTAAAAGTCCATCTGTGATCTCACATTTAGAAGAACTCCTCTGCCTCCTGGGTTTTTGGGGGAACAAAGTGAAAGGTCAGAACAGTGAATAACTTCTGCAGTTGTCTGAGTGGGAACTGAGGGTGACTCACATTGCACTGAAGGGTTGGGATGCTGCTGAGAAGCCACATTCTGTGTGCTGAAGATCCTGCCATGAGGACTTCCAGGTATATTAGATTGGTAGTGTAAGACTCTTCTACAAACACTTTCTTCTCTTGATTTTCAGGGCAGAGCTCTCCCTTGGTGGTATTCCTACCACATCAAACCCTCCTTCTCTGACCTCTCCTCTGAATCTTCCTCATCTTGGCAACATAAACACATGGAATGTCCCAGGGCCTAAGTTTTTTTTTAATAGCTTTTTAGAGGTAAAATTAAAGTATAGTTAAATGCACATATTTGAAGCATTCAGTTTGATCAGTTTTGACATGTTTTGACATGTGTAATCAGTACAATCAATATAAAAACCATTTTCATTACTTTGTAAACATATAAAAGTGGTGTTTTTATAACTTAATTAATTAATTAATTAATTTATATTTATGTGGTGCTGAGGATTGAACTCAGTGCCTCTCATGTGCAAGACAAGCACTTTGCCACTGAGCTACAATCCAGCCCTGCATTTTCATTACTTTTTTTAAAATTTGAAATTATGCAGACTGTATTTCTTGCATATTTTATTACATTGGAAATCAATCACCTTAAGATATATAAAGCCCCACCTCCACATGTCATCTACTTCAAAATTAAATGGCACACTTATAAATATCTCACATGTCAAGGAAGAAACTACAAGAAAAGTAAATAAAAAGTGCTTTGAACTATGTAATAATAAAAGCTTAAAATATCAGAATCTCTGGGATGAAAAAGTACTCAGATGAACATTTATAACTTGAAGTACTTGTATCAAGAAAGAAGCTAGATTAACAATCAAATTATTTTCAAATTAGGTAGTAGGAAGGAAAAAATAAGAGTAAGAGCAGAAATATATGAAATAGAGAAGAAATAATACAGTTAAAAGTTGATAAAATCAAGTCTAATCAAGAAAAGAAGCAAGAATACCAAAATTAATGTAATGGAAAGGAGCTATCAAAATAACCCTACAGATGCTAAAATATATTAAGGTAATATTACAATTGTATGCCAACATATGTGATAGCTTACGTAACATTGTATTATAGAAGGATCTGTGTGCTTCTGAGAAGAAAGTGTATTCAGTCATTGAAGGATGAAATATTCTGTAAATGTCTCTAAAGTCTAAATTATCAATTGCATTTTTTTAGTACAATAGCTTCTTAGTTTTTGTTTGCAAGATCTATCCAATGTTGACAGAGGCATGTTAAAGTTACTTAGTATTATTGCATGGTGGTCTATTTGTTTCTTGAAATTGAGAAGGATTTATTTGATGTATAGAGATGCTCCATTATTTGGGGCATAAATACTTACTATTGTTATGTCTTGTTGATGTATAGTTCCCTGAAGCAGTATGAAATTTCCTTCTGTCACTTCTGATTAACTTTGGCTTGAAGTCCATTTTTACTTTTATTTCTTCATGAAATGTTTTATTGAGAATTTTTTGTAGTGTAGGTTTTCTAGTTGTAAATTATTTTAACTTTTGTTTATTGTGGAAGGTTTTTATTTATCACCATCAATTCTGAAGCTTAATTGTGCTGGATATAGTATTCATGGCTGGCATTCATTTTCTTTCAGAGCTTGGTATATATTTTTCCAAGAAATTTTAGCTCTGAGGGTTGGGGTTGAGAAATCAGCTGAGATCCAGATTGGTCGGAATCCAGATTGATATTACTTGCTGTTTTTCTCTGGCAGCCTTTAAAATTCTATTCTTATTCTGTATGTTAGGCATTTTCATAAGAATGTGCCTTAGTGTGGGTCTGTTGTAATTTTATATATTCGGGCTCCTATAAGTCTCTTGTATTTGATTTTCCATTTTATTCTGTAGGTTTGGGATATTTTCTGACATTATTTTGTTGAAAAGATTGTGCAGTCCTTTGGTTTCTATCTCTAAGCCTTCATCTATCCCAATAAATCTTAATTTGGTCTTTCCATGTTATCCCATATTTCTTGGAAATTCTATTCGTAGTCTCTTAATATCTTTTCTCCAGAATCAACTTTTTTCAAGATTATATATTTTGTTTCCATTGCCTGAAACTCTGTATTCCAAGTGATCTTGGTGATGCTTTCCATTGAATTCTTTAATTTGGCTTATTGATTCCTACATTTTGAGGATTTCTGCTTGATTTTTTTTTTCAGACGCTCTCTTTGTTGAAGTGATCTTTTTTTTTTTAAATGCCATTAACAATTCACCTTTTTAAGTTGTTGATGAATCTTTTTATTTATTTATATGTGATGCTAAGAATTGAACCCAGTGCCTTACACATGCTAGACACTCTACCACTGAGCTACAACTCCAGCCCTTGGAGTGATCTTTCACTTCCTGTATTTTCTTTCTGATTTCACTCTTTACCTCGTTCTTTACTTCACAGATCAGTTTGACTATGTACATTCTAAATTTCTTCTCTGATATTTCTTCCACAATGGTGTCGTTAGAGTCTGTTATTGAAGTATCTTGGTTTGTCCTTTGGGGCAATTTGTTCCCCTGCTTTTTCATGTTATTGGTATGTCTACACTTCTAGCAGTATGCATCTGAGGTAGTAGAGTTTCTACCCTGTGGACCTGTTGTGTCCCTGAAGGTTTCCAGTACCTCACTGTTTAGGGGGGAGACAAATAATAACAACCAATGTAAACAATATACAGCATTAGACCAAATGATTCCTACTATGACATCTACAATGTTAATTATCACAGTAAACAGAAATGATATGATCAGTTATTTCCTACAATAAAAACAGCAAGTTTGCAAAAGGATTTACAATTTCAAATGGTGGACAGGAAGAGAACTGAAGTGATATAGGATGTAATGATTATAAGGGAGGAGAAGGAGAAAAGATAGAAATAAAAAATTAAAGGGAGGGTGAAAGAGAACAAAGACTAATTGTTAGTGGAAGAAAAGAAAGAGAAACAAGGGAAACGTGGGTAAGAAAAAATACATATATAAATAAAAATTTAAAAAGGAATAGAAAACAAAACTAAAATATACTAATCAAACATCCTACTCAAAAAACTGATCCATGGCTTCAGAAATGCTTGAAAAAAATAACTGGCTTTAAAAATGGTAGAAAAGAGAAAAAAATATGAGTATGTATAAATGTCCATGTACCATTAAGGTCACAATTAAACAGAGTAAAGGAAAAGGGGAAAAATATCTCAATGAAAGTTAGAAGTTTCTTTCCATTGTAGTTCAAGATTCTCAGCAGTTTTAGGTGAGGTCGTCTGAAGTGTGATACCCCACCCTCTGGATTGCTGGGGTGAAAGAGGAAAGGAATTCCTGGAGGCAGGGTTAGGCTTAGGTGGGCTCCGGGTGGGACAGAAAAGGCTGGACATCTGAGGAACTTTCAGGAAGTTTATTAGCTGTAGTGTCCAAAGAGGCTGTCCCTAAAATTTCTCTGGGCCTCAAGTCTGGAAATTTGTTGAAGGTTTATATGACAAGTGTTTTTTTTTTGTCACATTTTTTTAAGTTATCGATTTTACAAGTTTTATCACAAAAGCAAAAACATCATCAAGTTTGCAGCCAAACTTACCTTTTGTAAGACAGCAATTTAGTCCTCACAAAAAAATCGGAAATCCTATCCAACATTGAGTTTTTTACACAAATTTGTGCTGATGTTCTGTTATAAAGCTTTCTGACAAGAAGAGGAACTTACATGTCACAAAAATGGTGGGTCTGCTTAATTATGGTAAGGGTCTTCTGGGTGGAGGGTGTCTTGTCTGCTTCATAGGGTCTTCACTGAATGCCAGTTGATCTGGAGATTTAAAATCATTGTACCTCTAGGGTCCAGTAATTGCTGGTCCATACTGGAAGACTGGCTCCCAGGTATCTCCCCTGGGTTCTACTCATGTGATAGAGGAGCCAATTGTTCGTCCCCTAAGTCACCTGCAGACCCTATGCTTCCTGGTTTTGGGTTCGGTCTCCAAATAGTCTCTCCCACCTCCGCCCTTCCAAAGGCATGGCCAGATGCATCTCTCCCAGCTGATCCTGCAAGCAGCCAGTTAGGAGAGGGAGAAGTAGAGCCAGGTGGGTTTCCACAACCAGTTGTCCCCTGTGTAAACCTCTCTCCAAGTTTGATTTTCTTCTGGTCACTCAAACACACTCTAGGGCATGTGGTGTTTTTTCACTGGGTCTATATTTTAGGCCAAACTTGGGTTTGCCAGAAATTGGCTCCCTCAGCTGCCAGCCCCCATGCCACAGCTGAAAATCATTCCTCCTTTTATCCTCCACAGACTGCCATACTGCTTTTTTCCCCACACAAGGATATTGTGCAGTGCCTTTCAATTAAGTCAGGCAATGGCCTGGATCTCTAAACACTCTGTACCGAGACAGGGCTCAGGTCTCCTAAAAATGTAGGTTCCTTTAATTCCCTTGTCCCTCCACTTGACTTGCAGAGGGACTGCTCTTGCTAGTGCTTCTGGTCTGGCCACTGTAGTGGCTCTGCCACTGGGGATTTCTTCCTTATTTTATCATATACAACTTCCCAAGTCCCCTATCTGTTTTTTTTGTTGTTGTTGTTGTTATTGTTTGTTTGTTTGTTTTTAAGAGAGAGAGAGTGAGAGAGAATTTTTTTAAATATTTATTTTTTAGTTTTCGGCAGACACAACATCTTTGTTTGTATGTGGTGCTGAGGATCGAACCTGGGCTGCACACATGCCAGGCGAGCATGCTACTGCTTGAGCCACATCCTCGCTGCCCCCCATCTGTTTTAAATGTACAATTTTAAATTCCAATAAAGCCAACAAAGCACTCTCCCCCACCGCCCTTTTTTTTTTTTTTTTTTTAGCTCGCCCACCTTGCTAAGAAGCTGTTTTATCTGCTTTTTTGGTTTCACTCCATGAAGAGTCCAGGAAAGCAATCTCCTCGATTCTGCCATCTTGAAACTTTCCAGTTCTCAGATCCCTTCTCTAGCTAAACTTCCTCCCTTGGGCAGTGTCAGCCATCCCCATGCCTTGAAATATTGGGTATACTCAGCTCTCAGATACTCATCCTGGCTGATGGTTCTCCTGATTTCCAGGGAGCCCAGTCATCTCACTGCCTAGGAGCCATGCCCACTTGGTGTTAGGCAGGCATCTCATTCTAAACATGTTTAGTACCTATGCTTTCCACACGCATCCCCATCTTAGTAATGCCACCTACATTCTTTCAGTTGTTTGGGGCAAAGCCACCAGTGTCAGCCTTCTCTGATGCCTTTCTCTCATTCTCTACATCTGCTCCATCAGCAAATCTCTAAAGCTCCACCTCACAGGCTCCTGGGATTCCAGGCTCTTCTCAACACCACCACTTCAGCTCCTCCTACAAGCTCCCACTGCCACCTGCTTGGCAAATCATGAGAGTTGTTTAGGGTTCTCTGCTTCTACAGTTAATTGCCCACTTTAAAGACATTCTAATCCATAATGCCTACACAATGTAGTGAGTTCTTGATAGAAGTCAATATCCACTGGTAAGGTGGTTTTCAGGAATCCCATAAGCTGGGTAATTAAGGATGTATTAAATGTCTTCCCCTCACTTTTTGATGAATAAAAGGCTCACAGTTCTGCAGAGATTGTAGTTTGGGTCTTATCTGGGGGAAGGGGATGCAGGTTCTACCACTTACTAGCTTGTTCCACAGCAAGCTCTTATGTTTTTCCTTATGTACAAGATGGTGTATTCACAGGGCAGTTAGGAAGATTAAGAAGTAAAAGCAGTGTTTAACAGAGTGCTTGGCAAAGAAACAGTAATATTATAATATTATACTTGCTCTGTGCTTATTTTTCAGAGAAATAATCACATCAAAGCTGTCTTATATATAAAGATGTTCTTATCAGTATTTATCTGTATACAAAATATCAAATTTAAAAGAAAAACTAAGAAATCAAATGAAAAATTAAATATTTGAAATGTGAACTCAACACTGAAGGGGCTTCCTGAGTAAGTTGCCTTCCCTTCCCCAAACACTTGGCCTGGCTGAGTTAGACCTCCATGGGTTAGGCCTTGCCATTCCAGGGAGCCCCAGTACAAAGGACCCCAAATTCTAAGCTACCTGGAGTCTAGAGTGCTGCTTCATCTGGGAAAAAAAAAAAAAGCCTTTTATTCATTTAAAATCACCTCTATTGTTTCATGAACAGAATCTGACAGGGCAAATTTGAATTTTCTAATCACAAATATAATATTCCTTACATAACAGTGGTTATGACTGTGATAAATAACCCAGAGATAGCAATGTAGGTTCAGATAATACATTGTCAACCAATTCAGATGGAAGATGGCATACCCTGAAGAACCATTTCAGTTGTCTCAAAATCAGCCCTATTGGTAAAAGACACTGATGGCAATGATCCATGAAAAGAGCTTAAATAAAACCGCTTCAGGTAACGTGTAAAAAGAAAAAAATAAGATTATCTCGTGATTTCATATATGAAAATATAATAAATTTACTAAAATGAATATTGAAAGTGGAGAAATCCCTTCTCCCAAATTAGTATAATACAGTCCCGTCAGAGCCAGTCGGTGCAGGTAATTCTCACTTCACTTTCCCCACTCCATGCCTGGGGTGATTTAACATATTTGGCTTCAACTTCCAGTAAATTTCTGCCTTTTCTCTTTTTTTTTTTCTGCCTTTTCTTTTTCATATCCTTCACCTGCTTCCTCTTTTGGTGCAGGCTTTTCTGGGGCTACTGGTGGTGGGGCCTACTCTGGTGGTACCTCCTCTGGTGCAGGTGGTGGGGCCTCCTCCGGGGCAGGTGGTGGGGCCTCCTCCGGGGCAGGTGGAGGAGGGGCCCCTTTGGGTGGTGGGGCCCCTTTGGGCGGTGGGGCCCCTTTGGGTGCTGGGGCCGCCTTTGCTGGGGCTATAGATGACTCTGAATCACGTGACAGCATTGACCGTATTTCAGACCAGAGGTAAGCAAGTAGCATTAGAGTACACAATAATGTGATGAGACCTACAGGGATAGCGATCATCAACATTTTAAGGCGTGCTTCATCATCCTCACTATTCCGGGTTTCTTTATAATTATCGTTGCGTTGTTTTAGGGACTTTGGCTTACCAGGAGGGCCACTGTCCATACTACCCCCAGTCCCTGGACGCCGACAGTCAGGAGGTGCAAAGCCATCTTCACAATGACAGTGCCTGAAATTGTTACACACTCCTTTTCCATAACATCGTTTCTCTGGTTCACAGTCATAGTGGAGCACAGCTTGATCAATACAGGAGTGAGCACTGCAAACTTTGTTTGGAGCACAGTAAGTGCCATGGTGCACATCACCATCATCAAGGATGTCAGTAAGGTTATAGGCATCCATGGCCCAGCACCAGTCATTACCATGAGCAACCTGGATCAGTGTATGTTTGGGTTGGATTCTTGGCATGGTTGCAACACCTGTACATATAATTTTTCCACAAAATATATTTTCATCTGTACACCTAACATATGCTGAGGTCGTTGAAGTACGATGGCCACAGTTTGCAAACCGACTTGGGTGCCTGTTCATTGAAATATAACATTCTTCTGGGGCAGATCGTGCAGGGTGACCATATATACTCAGGCACTGATTATCAGGGTTTCTACACTGCCCCCTGGTACAATAGTAAATTCTGTCACACAATGAGCCATCTTGTTTGTAGCTGTCCACAGGACATTTTTCAGATTGACCATCACAATATTCAGGGAGATCACACTCATCTCGAGAACGACGACATAAAGTGCCCTTCTCTTTGAGAAGACATCTATGGCAGCAGAGTCCATTACTGCACTGAGCCCCCTCCTTCAGTTTACAAAGTGTGTCACAGCATGGGTGAGTGTCACATTTGTCACCACAGTCACACTGCTCCGCCTCTTCAACCACACCATTACCACACCTAGCAGCCTCCCTCTTGCGGCTTCTGTGCCGTGGCTTGTTAAAGAGGCAGGCCCCTTTGTGTTCATGAAGGAAATGGTAGAAGTCGTCAGAGCTACAGTTGCTGAAGCCACTTTCTCTGGTGATGTTTTCATGCATGAGGCAAAAGTGCTTATCTTTACAAATGCAGGCCTCATGGTCGTGCTGAATACCCAGGTTGTGCCCGAGCTCGTGGACCATGAGCGCTGCGAACAGGAGGATGTCTTCGTGATGGAAGGATTCCACGGCCGCCGCAAAACTACCTGAACAGGCACCATTGAGAAATGCCTGGCCCATGTTCTCTCCAGGATGATGCCCAACGATCATGTGGGCAACATCGTGCCTCACACGGTGCGAGAGCTTCTCTTGTCTCCAGCTGTTGAAATTCCTGAGTGTAACTTGCAGGTCCACTGGGACCTCTATGAGGTCCCCCTCGGTCCAGATCTCCATTCCAGCCAGCACCACCTCTGTGTTTATTCCCCTGGTGAAGACATTGGCCAGAGCAATGATGTCCACTACTCTCTGGACTGTCTCATTGATGTTACTGCCCCACATCTGGAACCGCTGGTTGTTGACAACGACAAACATCTCCACGTACTTGGTGCGTGACCACAAGTAGGACAGTGCCTGTAGTGGAAGAGGATTCCTGCTCCCTTGGTGCTGGCTGGTGGACACTGGTCTGTCTTGGGAAGTGACACCACAGGAGACTCGAGCTTGATGTGCCATGGTGTATAACACATGCTCAAACTGTTTGGAAGAGAGCATGGGCTTGATGCCGTAGGATGTGTCCTCCTTAATCAGGATGCCCCTGAGGCCCAAACAGGTGTTGACAGAAACAAAAGACCCTGGCGCTCCTTCTATGTAGCCCTCATAGTGGCAGTCCTGTGAGATGGAAGGCGCTTCTTGCCCCAGGATGCCATTGTGGTAACTGTAGATGGGGAAGTTACTTACAGAATAGTCTCTTTTCACTTTGAGGTGAATCACTTGCTTTTGGCCCTGCATAAACAGCATGTACGATGCCTTTCCCACTGGGTCTTCATGCCCCTCCACTGTCAGACTCTTGGGGATGACTATTTCATAGAAAGAATAAGATACTGATCCCAGGTAACAGTGCATGCTTGGCAAAAAAATGACCAACAGCATCAAGATCCCTAACCTGATACATGAATGTCCTGGCACTGGACCCAGCCTCAAGTTCCACTTCTGGGGAATCCAAATCAGAAAATTTATCTTCACTTCTGTGAAGGCCACTTGATTTTTCTGTAGAGATGATAAGATGGAGGCAGAGTTTCTCAGTGATGCTGCCACTGACATGACCCAAATGATGATACAGGGTCTGTGTCTCTCTGTGGCAGCTCTCCCTGACATGAATCTCAGAGACTTACATATCATCCCCACATCTGTGCTGGCTTCTTTTTGGGTGGTTTCCATCCAACTCTGAATCTTATTGCCTTCAGGGTGTATCTCTTTATTCTTGCTTCCCTCCTGGTCTTGGATGGTTTCCATAGCACAGGAAATCCTTTCAACAGAAACAGCTGTCATGTTCCTTGACTAAATTTCTTTAACATTCGTGGAGAGATGAGCCATGTAGGCCTGTAAGATTCGGCCAGTACTATAAATCAGGCCAATTACCTTCCTTCTCTTGAGACCACATTAGTACTGATATCCGTTAATCCGTTCATTCTTTGAAACCCAACATTCTGGCAGGAGACCGGGGGAGGGGACAGGGATTTCCTAGGGATCTCTGAGCAGGACAGAATTCTCTCCTGCCTACTATGACTTTTCCTCGTTTCTGAATTATTGAGGGTACTCTTTCTCAATTCAATCCTTTGCCTGTGACTCATTTTTCCTTTAATTCAAGAAAAAAAGTCCAAGTTTTCCCTCATTATCCTTCGTTCATAATAAATGAGTTTAGACATTTTATATTTGCTTATAAATAATTGTTCTCTACCCAGAGTTTCCTAAGGCACAGACAAAAGGGTTAAGTGATCTTAGTTTTACCACTGAGGTATCTAAGGGACCAGTATCAAAGATCAATTACTGGGCTGGGTGTGTGGCTCATTGATAGTGCTTACCTGGCCTGGCCTGGACCAGGGCCTGCGTTGAATCCCTAGAGCTAAAAAAAAAAAAAAAAAAAAAGTTCAGGGTCTGAGGCTGTAGCCCAGTGGTAGAGCACTTTTGCCTAGCATGTATGAGGCACTAGGTTCAATTCTCAGCACCACATAGAAATAAAAACAATAAAAGTACATCAACAACTAAAAAATATATATGTCCATTTTAAAAAATTCAGTTTTTCTCTACCGATCCAATATAAAATGTGTGGCAAAATAAAACTGTTTAATCATGTATCTAGTTACCCTGATCAATAAAATAAAATAGGTGGGTACAGTGGCACATGCCTATAATCCCAGTGGCTCGGGAGGCTGAGGCAGGAGGTTTACAAGTTTATAGCCAGCATCAGTAATTTAGTGAGGCCCTAAGCAACCCAGCAAGACCTTGTTTCTAAATAAATTATAAAAAAGGGCTGCGGATATGGCTCAGTGGTTGAATGCCCCTGGGTTCAACCCTGGTACCAAAAGAAATAAGTAAAATAGGTTAAGATTTCTAAAAAGTTCTTCACTTTATAACTTAAATTGAACTGTATAGTGTCTGTGAAAGTCCTTGGGTTGTTTTTTTTGTTGGTTTGTTTAAAGATTTTTTTTAGTTGTTGATGGACCTTTATTTATCTGTGGTGCCAGAATCGAACCCAGTGCCTCACACATGCTAGGCAAGCGCTCTACCACTAAGCCACGACCCCAGCCCTTGGATTTGGTTTTGATGTGAATTTTTTTCGTTGGTGAGTTTAGCAGTAAAAATTTAAAAGGAAAGAGAAGCTGTTTACTTATTTTTGGCCCAGTCATTCATCTTCTATGCATTCTAAGATTAACTAAAATAAGATGTTTTTTTATCTTGCATAAAAATAATTTTATATTAAGTCAAATATTTACAGCATGAAACCTGTAAAATACAAGGTGTGACTATGGGTAACACTTGGCCATGAGGAAATGCTCTACTTCAGAATAGAATCATAATGGTACCAAAAGGTATCAGATATCACCAGAGAGTGTATGAACTCATTATCTATCTCCAATTAATAATACTTAATTTCACTGGGCATGGTGGCACACGCCTGTAGTCCCCATGGCTCAGGAGACTGAGACATGAAGCCTGCAAGTTCAAAGTCCGCTTCAGCAAAAAGCAAAGTGCTAAACAACTCAGTGAGATCCTGTCTCTAAATAAAATACAAAAATAGGCCTGGGGATGTGACTCAGTGGTCAAGTGCCCCTGAGTAGACAATCCCTGGTACCCAAAAACAAAAAACAGAGAAAACTTAATTTCTAACAGTTGATAAAATATTTCATTAGCATACAGCAAGAAAATTCATACTGCCACATCATAAATTCATTAGAAAATTTATAGCAATAAAAGTGAAATGATTTCTTTTCTTCTTATAGTTTATGTAAGAGCAAGTCCACTTCAAATTATAGAGTTTGGAAATAATACTTAAGATTTTAGGGTACTTCTCTTGTGTTATTACGAAAATAGGTAGAGATAATTTCCTACCTATTTTGTCATTTGATGGAATAAAAGAATCAAGAGTCAATCATGGAAGAACAATGTACCTTTTAAATTTAAAAAATATATAACTAAAATTAAATATCCAGTTTTCCCAGCTCTGAGTAAATACACATGTACACACAAACTGATAGACAAGATCTGATTTAAATCTTTCAACTTCTTTCAACTTTCTTTGACCAACAATACCTGCTATTCTTTCAACTTGTTTTTCTCACCCAGATACAATATAAGCTCTTTTAATAAGAATTCCATTTTTCAAAAAGACAAATTTCTCACAGGCATTCTCCTATGATCATACAATACATTAGCCAGAAAAACATAAGGATGTTGTTCTACCTCAAGTCTAAAGGTAATTGAGTAATGGTCTTAATCAGCAGAGGGTCAGCAAGTCATGTGGGGGAAACTCTAGATTGTAAACTGCTGCTTTACAAGAACTGTTCCTACAATGTTAAGTGTCCACAGGTGGGTGTTAGTCTGTGAAATCAATATATGATTTCACTTTCAGTTATGTGTGGGTTTTGTATCACCAGGAAACCTGATTTGTATATTAAAACACAATTTACTACTGGCTTAGGAATATACAAACAAAACACTTTGAAGACCAAACAGTATTGAGTCTCTGGGGAGCCTACTGCTTTTTCAAGGGGCTCCAATCAGGGTAGGGCCCTCTGTAGTGTTACAATGGCTGGAGCACCCGCCAGGGTTTTATAGTCTTCCAGCATGGTGCTCATCTGGGACATGTCTGGAGTCAGGCAGCTCTCATGAATTCAATCTGAAGTGACTAAAACATAAGAAATTGAAGCTTAGACTAAAAAGAAGTATCATTTTGGATGCCATTTTACATCAAGACGTAAAGTTGACTACACTCTAAGGAAAAAGAAGAAAAATCAGCCTGAGCCTTTAGAAGATACCCAAATAATAAAATTTGAGAAGTTAATGCTAGAAGGCTAAAAGAAAGAGCAACAAAGGTATTACTGTCTTCCTCTCCCCATGGAATACTGAACTCCTGCCTGCCCTCAGGTAGGAACACTAGAGGGGTTCAGATATCTCAGAAACAAGTGCATTTTCCCTCACTTCAAGAAATGATTGCATTTTGCTGAAAAACTAAATAAGCCCTTAATTCAACTATCAGCTAAATTTTGTGGTAGTAAATAAAAATTTTGGTTTTCTCTGCTGCTTAACTGATCGATTTTGCTATCTTGAAAAGTACCCAGTTCTTTTTGCAAGGTTTTACTTAACCTTAAAAAATACATTGAATTACATATTCTTTAAGATAAAATTCAATCAGCGTAATAAAGAAATTCTTAAAAGATACTTTGGTGGGCTGGGGTTGTGGCTCACTGGTAGAGCAGGCACCTAGCAGATTCGAGGCCCTGGGTTCCATCCTCAGCATCACATAAAAATAAAGTTAAGGTATTGTGTCCAACTATAACTAAAAAATAAATATTAAAAAGAAAAGATACTTTGGTGTTTTTATCATATATTCCCCAAATCAGTTGCACTCTTAAGTGACACAATGACCAGATGTCATCCTGAAGGCATACTCAGCAAAATATAAGAGTCAGAAAATAAGTGAGCAGGCTGGGGTTGTGGCTCAGTGGTACAGTGCTTGCCTAGCAGCACATGTGAGGCACTGGGTTCAATTCTCAGCACCCATTAAAAAAATACAGATATCTATCTACAACTGAAAATATTAAAAAAAAAATAAGTGAGCTTTGTGGGATTGATTTTGATTACAGAGAATAGCTGACAGGTTAAAACAGAATAGCTGAGGGCCAGGGTTGTGGCTCAGCGGTAGAGTGCTCGCCTCGCACATGCAAGACCCTGGGTTCGGTCCTCAGTACCACATAAAAATAAATAAGTGAAATAAAGGTATTGTGTCCAACTACAACTAAAAAGTAAATATTAAAAAAAAAAAACCTGAATAGTTGAGACTACTCATCCTCTTACCCTGTCCTGTGAGCTAGAATTTGTCTACAAGCTTTTCTATTTATTGACAGATACCCACCAAAAAAATGTTAAAAAAAAAAAAGTTTGTGTCCATGTGCACAAAAGAAAACTAGGGGGCTGGAGATGTGGCTCAAGCGGTAGCGTGCTCGCCTGGCATGCGTGCGGCCCGGGTTCGATCCTCAGCACCACATACCAACAAAGATGTTGTGTCCGCCAAGAACTAAAAAATAAATATTAAAAAACTCTCTCTCTCTCTCTCCTCTCTCACTCTCTTTAAAAAAAAAAAAAAGAAAGAAAACTAGGTGCACATCTATTTTTATTTTTCATTAAACAACTGCTATCTGAGCCAGAATTATGCTTCCTGAAAATGAAGGGTACTGAAGAAAATAAATACAGCCCACAGGATGCCATCAAGAAATCCAGGCAGAAACATTAGAGAAAAATGGGCAGCTTTCAGAGGAAAAAGTGGATCATTTTAAAAGCTAATGTTAAAAGTCCAGTTTATATTATATACAATTTTCTCAGGAAAATCATCCCAAAATTGGGGCCAGAATAGGGAAAAGAATTAAGAAGTGACGGAGTAAGTAGAGGATGCGGGGGCAGGGAGGACCAAATGGGATCTCAGGGAAGGGTAAAGGGAAGCTCTGGTTACACATGTAAAGAATAAACCCCAAAGTGAATTCCATTAGATTTAAGAAACACACCAATACCCTTTAAACAAATATGACAAAAAGGAACGGTGCCACTTTTCTCTGGGGAATTAGGAGCAAGAGAAATGAGAGCACAGTAGTTCCTTCCTCTTCCATGGCAGAGGCACCCAAGTGTGCATTCTATGACCTCCACCAGGCAGTCTGCAGTGATTGATTGTGAGCACAGAAAGGTCCTTTATCTAACCCTGGCATGTGATTTCTTTTACTTTATTAGAAAGAAGATAATCTTGCTTGACTGACAGATACAATTCCACCTATCATCTTATAAATATAAGACCTTATGTCCTAAAATAATAGTATGCCTCTAGAAACTGAGCTTCTCTAAAACAATAACTATACTATTAGTAAATCCCGTACATAAATCTATATAGCAATGTTAAGCAATGTGGAAATGAAATGATGATTTATTGATTTACATAAAAATTACTTTATACATTAAAGAATAATTTTTCAAATTGCTAAAAAAAAAAAAAAAGTTTGAAGCTGTCATTATTGGGATTCATGGGAAGTGGTTTGCTCTTCTATCACTTGCTTCACAATTTCTGCCAGTTTTAGTCGATCTACTTTATCTGTGAATCCACGACCTGAAATCCAAGAAAGAATAAGGTCAGTTCTCACTCTGAGAGGAACCCAATAAGATGGACCCTACGGTGCCAAGTTCACCCTGCCAATGGAGGAACTACCCCAACGCTAATGAAATGCAGTTCAAATCTCCCATTTTCAGGTGTTCACCAAGCAGTTCTATTAAATGGCAATTAAAATGCAGAGTTCACTATAACACAAAACCAAACCACAATGAGAGATCTCTATAACATATGTATGTCTGACAATAGACTAACATCCAAAAATTTATGAAGAATTCCAACACATATATAAAAAGCCACAACTTGGTAGAAAAGTGGACAAAGGACTTGAATAGGCATACTTCAAAAAATAAGAAATATAAATGGCCAATAAGCATTTAAAAAGTGCATAATTTCATCTGTCATCAGGGTAATGCCAAGTAAAACCACACTGCAATGCCATTATATACTAACCAGAATGTCTAACATAAAAGAGACAATAGCAAGAGTTGGTATGAATATAGAATAACTAGTACTAAGGCTGGGGATATATATCTCTGTTGGTTGAGTGCTCGCCTTGCTAGAATTGGACACCACAGTGGGAGGTCATAAATTCAAATAACCAATTCAGAAAACTGGTGGCATGTCTACCAAAAAAAACCAGATGAATATCTTCATGAACTAGCAACTCCAATCCTAAACATTTAAGAGAAATCAGTTCGCAATGCCCCCTTCCTTAATTACCAAAACCTAGTAATCATCCAAATATCCATTAACAGCAGAATGGACAAATACAGGATAAACATGTAATGAGTAACGAGATCATCTGTTGCTATACACAATGGGCATGGGACCCATAATATTGATTAAAATAAGTCCACTTGCAAAAGAACAAGACTTGCCTGCGATTCTGATTTACATAAAACTAGGCAAAATTATTCTGAGGTGCTAGAAATCAGGACTGTGACAACCCTAGAGAGGGAGTGACTGGAAGGCAGCACATGTTCCACGACGACCTGGCTGCTGGCTGGAGGAGTGTTTACTTTGTGACGATTCAATGGAAGTGCGCACTTCACATGTGATTACTTCTCTATACTGATGATGTAGTTCAAATAAAAATAAAAATCCTAGGGAAGCTCAGCTCTTCCTGGTATGGGAATGGCCAGGCTAGCACTTTAGATTTCCTACGGCAAGTTCAAGAAACAAGCCAGCAATGAAGTGAAAGAATTTGCTCCCTTCCCTGAGAATTCTGGAACTTATCCATAGTCTGCTAAACCCAAATGACAATATAAAAATTAGTTCAAAAAATGCTTATTAAGGAAGAACATTAAAAAAAAAATGAATGACCCTCTCTACCTAGTTTGCCTGGGGAAAAAAGATCAACCAGCAGCAGATCTGGCAAAGTGCTACTCTTAAGTGAAATGGCTCTTCTCTAAACTAAGAAGGGTGAACTTGCTGGTCCTCTGTCCTCTTTTCCTCTTTCACTGAGTGCTGCTCCTTTGTGATCTGGTGATGTGGGAGGAATTCTGAGAACCAATTTTTTTGTTTGTTTTTTGGGTGGTTTCCCCCCAGCCCCGCTCTTTTCCCCAGTGGTATATGATACGGAATCAAAGGACCAGTTATGCCTGAGTACTTAACTGTACAGCTGACACCCCTCCCTCAAAATTACACTCAGTCTCCAACTTCACTTCACAGAAAATAGATCCAGCTCAGGCCCAAATCACCCAACATGTTCTAAACATAATCACTTCTATATATTCCCAAGCAAAGGAGTGGCTGTGGTCCCTACCATTCCAGCTGAAGCTCTGCAGAGTGTCCCTCAGGAGTTTGCATTCCCGATTATACTTCCAGGCCTCCTGCATTACTTCGTTCAGCTTCTCATCTTCATTCTCTCCTGTAGGTAAGGATGAAGAGGAAGTTGCATTTTTTCCTGCCCATCATGGAATTTTAGTGTCAGAGGTGGGATGACATAATATCCAACTGGTTGAGAAATGATGACTACATGTGCAAAACCACCAGAGAAAGAAAGACTTTACTGCTATTCCAACATCAAATGTCAACCACTTCTGGTCACTGAACTCTTCTACTTTGACATCCTCACACAAATGCTCTGATAGCTTTAGAGTTCTTAGTATTGAGGATGAGAAATAGACTGTGACAAACCCTGTCACTAAGCAAATAAACCTGGTCAACCTAAGGGAAAACAAGACTGGGTGGGCTGCCTTCTTTCTCTTAGGTCCATTCCTTGCTTTGGAAGGCTATCTGAGGCACATGTCACAAGTTCTCTTAAAAGCCATGAAATCAAGGAAAATAGGTCACCTCAACATTTTCTGGCCTAATAGGTAAAGAATCTCACTCATCAACTGAGAATACCCTTCATATCACACCACCTTGAGGGAAAGAAGAACATACAGAAAGCAAGCTCTTACATGCAGGGGGTCATGTGCAAGTCACTCTGTCTGTGACCCAAGTAGCAGCAGGGTGGTGGTCTCTGTATTCACAACCTACACCTAATCCTGATCCTATCCATATTTTCATTCTCCATTATCTTTACTCTGGGCCCTTGTTATCGAACTAAGATAACACAAAATTCTATGCCTGATGCTGACAATTAAGCCTAAATAAAAATCTCACAGAAAATGAGAAGAAGGGTAGAACTTACCACATTTCTGAATTTCCACTGTTCACTCTTTTCAGTGGGCACAGACTATATAATATGCTCACTTTCTTGTAATACAAAGATGAAACAGATAATCCCAAATTACACACCCTTTTGACATGCATATACACACAGTGTCCATGTACATGCACACACACATACATAGAGCATTAGTAAATGGTGTGACCTTTACCAGCCTGGGGGAGAATACACTGGGCAATCACGTCTCGAAGCTTTTCCAGGGCAACATTTGAATCCTCAGCTCCATTCTCATGGCCATGGATATAAAGGCCGTCCTTGGGCTTGGTGCTTTAAAAGTTTGGGGGAGAGGTGAAAACAAGGTGAAACCTCAGAACCCGGCTCTGCACAGACATTAAACACAAGCTAACAGATTTTTCAGATCAATACAGAGTGTGTCCAATTTCTGATACAGTTTAAAAAACATCCTCTTTACCTCTAAGAAACAGAGAAAGGGCAGACCCCTGGCTGATCTCTCAGCCACACCAGCCAGGAAGAATAATCAAATGAAATAAGCTCAGTTACCCAAGTAACTTCCGCTTCCTTAGAATGGGGTTGTTCACCGAGTGCAGGGGTTTGAGGCTGACTTTCAGATCCTGGATTCTCATGTTGGCCAACTGTTCTGCATGAGCCTGCTGGATCCCTGCAACCACCGCCTGCATGTAAACACTGTTATCAGTTTTTCACAGTCATTGCTGGGCACCTGAAAAGCCAATCTAAGAAAGCAGGAAGGAGAAGCCCAGTATGTCGAAGGCAACTGTACTCTTGGGCTGATGCTATCTGAATTTGGACAAGGCAGGACTCTTCCTCTAGATCAATAGGGCCCAGGGAACAGCAGGCTGAACAAAGGACCACAACAGCTAGTCATTCTTTCCTGGCAGTGGAAACTGAGATAAAAGTAAGAAATACAAAGGTTCATCATGTTCGTAGCTATAGATATGAGCAAATGTGAAGGGAGGTAATAACAACCTCAGAAGAAAGGCTGGCCAGCTGCTGCCCCAAAGGCTCACACACTGGCCTGTATTCACTGTGCCCATGATGTAGTCACCTCCCTCAGTCCTGCTGGCTCAGAACTTCGAGCATGGCCAAGCATAAGGGCAGACCCTCACCATCTAAGGCCACATCCCAATGGATAAGCCCATCAGTTGGTTTATAATGAGAAATAACAGCTATAGGGTATGGTGTGTTCTTTTTTAATTCCCTAGTTCCGGGAATGTTAGGGAAACACTTCACCACTTCTAATTTTATTTTGAGACAGGGTTTTGCTAAGTTGCCCAGCTGGCCTTGAACTTGTGATCTTCCTGCCTTAGTGTCCCAAGTAGCTACAATTACAGGTGTGTGACACCACTCCCAGCTGTATTATCTGAATTCTAAGGAAAAAAAAAAAAATTGGACACTTTAAAAAGTAGCTCCTTGGTGAGCAGGCAGTAAGATTGTGAACATTTCAAGCTTATTGAAGGGAATCGTGTACTCATGACTGCCTCCTACCTCATCATCTACCTCCTCATCAGAAATGGACCAACCAAAGTGATGGAACTAGCTCCAGGTATCTATGAGCTTAGACTCCTATATAGGGAGGAGATGGATGCTATTCAACATCCACAGCTCTAAAGCTGACCAACTCCCATCGTGATCACACATCTGCTTTAGGAATGAGAATACTCTGTCACACTGACTGCAATGTCATCTTCTAGGTCTGGCAACTTCTTTTTCTCATTAAGAAAATTCTGAATATCCAGATTTGGCTTCTTGTGTGTAGTGACCTGTAAGTAACTCCAGAAGACAATCTTCTCTCCTCATTTCCAAAATCTTGATGAACATTGTACTGTAACTATAACCTCTATATGGCTGACAACAGAATTTAAGCAATTCTTTTGGACTTTGAACAAACCAAACCATTCCTACACAAGTGGCCGTATTTAAGCCTGGAAGATAACTACCCATAAATCAGAGATGCCACAAAACTCTCTTCCTCTTTCAGCTCTCCATTTTCTCCCATGCTCCAGATAAGCTCAGCATTTTTTAGTTCCATTTACTTATTCTTTTTCAAACTTCAACTCTATCCCTTTGAAGCTGATAATTCTTAAGACTATGTCATTGCTTTAGCCAGCTGCTTGGCCACATTCTTGTCCCACACTATACATCTTATTCATTTAAATGTCCCTCTGTCACTGAAAATAATATCTAAAGTCTAAGAGACTCCACCTCACCAAAATCGGCCTCCTTCCTCATTTCCTTCTGTCAACAGCATGACCTCCCAAGCTAGCTGCTGTCTCTTTTATCTACTCAGTCAGCAAAAACTAGAAAATTTTCTTCACAGATATTGAGCCACTCCTTCAGTTTCTTCATCACTGCAGAAATCAAAGTTTAGCATGTCTGCAAATTGGACTGACTATCTGTAGATACATTCCCAGTAGCAAAGCTCTTTTCAAAAACCCACCACGGGGCTGGGGTTGTGGCTCAGCATTAGAGCTCTCACCTAGCATGTGTGAGGCCCTGGGTTCGATCCTCAGCACCACATAAAATAAAGATATTGTGTCTATCTACAACTACAAAATAAATATTAAAACAAAACAAACAAACAAAAAAACCACCACGGCCAGGCCTGTAATCCCAGTGTCTCAAGAGGCTAAGGCAGGAGGATTATGAGTTCAAAGCCAGCCTTGGCAACTTGGCAAGGCGCTAATTAACTTAGCAAGACTCCATCTCTAAATATAATGCTAAGTGAAGTTAGCCAATCCCAAAAAAACAAATGCTGAATGTTTTCTCTGATATAAGGAGGCTGTTGGGACAGGGAGCATGGGAAAATTAGACAAAGGGGAGGGAGAGTAAGGGAAGGGGCAGGGAGGTAAAAAAAAGATGTTGGATTGATTGGGGCTGGGGTGGTGGCTCAGTGGTAGTGTGCTCGCCTAGCATGCATGAGGCACTCGGTTCCATTCTCAGCACCACATAAAAATAAAGACAATAAAGTCCATTAACAACTAAAAAAAAAAAAAAATTAAAAAAAAGGATGTTGGATTGAGATGGACATCATTACCCTAAGTACATGTATAAAGATACAAATGGTGTGAATATACTTTGTATACAACCAGAGATATGAAAAATTGTGCTCTGTGTGTAATATGAATTATAATGCATTTTGCTGTCATATATAATAAATTAGAATTTAAAAAGTTAAAAAGAGACCCTGTCTTTAAATAAAAATATTTTTACAAAGGGCTAAGGATGTGGCTCAGAGGCAAAGCACCCCTAGGTTATCTCTCCAGTACCCTTCCCACCGACCTCCCCCAAAATCCACAAAGCCTCTCAGTTACAACCTGATAAGAACTAAAGCCTTGGTTCTGTCTTCGTGCAGAACCCAGCCCTGTGACAGCATCTCACCAATGTCTCACTACTGAGGCCAGGCCACTTTTCCCAATGGCACACTTTAGTCTCTAACTTTTTGTTCATCTTGTTCACTACATGTGACACACTGTCTACTCAAGCTCCAAGGACATCTCATGCCTGCAGCTGGGAAAAGCTCAGAAAGTGCCATACAGTAGGTAGTAATAAATGTGAGGATTTACACATTCTCATGGGGCAAACTGCACCCCCTTTAGAGATATTCTCTTTTTTCTGAATTCCCACAGCACCCACAGAAGATGGAAAAGGCAGAGTTCTCATATATTGAATGTGCCATATTCCATGAGCCCAGGCCTTACCTTCCAACCAGTCTTGTCTAAATCCCTTGGGAAAAGGTATCTTATGGGGCTGGGGTTGTGGCTCAGTGGTAGAGCACTTGCCTAGCACGTGTGAGGCACTGGGTTTGATTCTCAGCACCACAATAAAAAATAAAAAATAAAGCTATCATGTCCATGTATAACTAAAAATATTTTTTAAAAAAGAAAAGGTATCTTATAGTGCTGTGTACCCCCAAACCCACAGCCAGATATGGAGGACGTTCCTTTGAACATTCCCGTAGTGTACATTTACCAGGCCTGCCTTGGACTGGTGTTTTACAGAAAGAAATACTTTATTTCACATCCTGATTTTCAGGAAACCAGACATGTTCTTCTGGAAACACGCTTGCCATTGTTTTGTTTTTATCTCCTCACTGGGTTAAGCCCAAGCTTTCCTTCTCAACACAGCCTCCTCAGCCAACAAAATAAGTATCATTCAAAAACTTATGCATCAGGGCTGGGGCTGTGGCTCAGTGCTAGAGTGCTCACCTAGCAGATGAGAGGCCCTGGGTTCGATCCTTAGCACTACATAAAAACAAATAAACAAAATAAAGGTATTGTGTGCAACTACAACTAAAAAATAAATATTTAAAAACAAAACAAAACACCTTATCCATCATCAGTTGAGCAGAAGGTAGCACGTTATCCAGGGCCTCGGTGGAGTTGAGCCAGGGGTGGTCCAATACTCCCTCAATGGTGAGTCTTTCCTCTGGTTTGACCTTCAAGAGCCTGTGGAGAAAACACCAATATGGCTGCCATTACACATGGCCCCAAAGGAAGTATAGGAAGTTTCTAGGTCTGAGGTTGGTCTCGAAAAAGATCTGGCTTCTTCTGATTTTGTACCCATTCCTGCAGGCCTATGCCTTCTATCTGAAGGAAAGGAGGGGGATTCTAGGCCCCAAACACCAGGAACTGTTCCGTGAGTTGTCTTTTCTGTACTAAAAAAAAATTGACCAAAAAAATGGTATAAAAAGCTTAATCCACTGATACTCTGGACTATGTCCTAGAAGTCAGCAGTTTCCTGAGACCTTGAATCCCCATACTGAAGTTTCCAGGACAATGGGTTCTAACTTAGAAAAGAAACCTAAAGTATTCTTTTAGCTGCTAATAGCTACAAAATTAGTTGAGGAGTCATATAGTTCTGAAAAAGCAGGTTGCTACTCATGATAAAACTCTTAGATGCCATCATGTGACAGACATGAGACACTCAAAAGCTAAAAACTGCCAGGCACGGGGCTGAGGTTGTGGCTTAGTGGTAGAGTGCTTGCCTAGCATGTGTGAGGCACTGGATTATATTCTCAGCACCACATATAAATAAATAAATAAAGGTCAATCAACAACTAAAAAAAAAAAAAAAAAAATGGCACAATGGCATACCTATAATCCCAGTGGCTCAGATGGCTGAGGCAAGAGGACCGTGAGTTCAAAGCCAGCCTTAGCAACTTAGGCCCTGTCTCTACTATAAAAAAACCTGGGGATATGGCTCAATGGTTAAACACCTCTGAGTTTAATTCCTGGTAACCCCCCTGTGCCCCCTCAAAAAAGCTAAAAATCGAGCCTCTGAAAAGGTGATAGCACCATGTGCTCACTTCTTCTACCTCCTTCCCACTACGCTGTCACAACTCCTAGCTCACCTCAGCATGCTCCCTGGGCTCTCTATAGCACCGCCTCCTTCCAACTACATATCTTCCTAAATGTCAGTCTGGACAAACAAGCCTAATTGCCCTTTCATATTCTCTGCAACCTTCTTCTGGAGCATTCTCAACAGCTTCAAATTTCTAAAAAAAGCATTATTTAGAAAAGAATTCCAAGGCCAGAAGAAAGATAATCAGTGCTGTTCTAGGGATCAGAACTATAGTCTATAGAAAAGTGGCAAAGAACCAGAGAGGACACTGAGATTTTGGTTTAAAAGTTGGGTCTCCATAGTGGGGCATGTTAAGAAGACAGATGGAGACTCAAACATTGCCCCTACCCTCCTAAAAAATTTTACTTGCATATTTTAGAAGATAGTACCTCTTTATAACACAGAGACTCCCTAACCAACAGGGCAAGCTCACTTTTTTCCTCCCCTATATTGGGGATTGAACCCAGAGGTGTGTCACCACTGCTACACTTCCATCCCTTTTTATTTTTCATTATTCTTGATACAAGTCTTGCTAAACTGCCAAGCCTGGCCTTGAACTTGCAATCCTCCTGCCCCAGCCTCCCAAGTAGCTAGGATAACAGGTATGTGCCACCATACTTGGCACAAGTTTATTTTTGAAAAGGTGTAATTTCCACAGAGGAATGGCTGCACCGTCAGGAGACAGTACCCCTTTAATACTTCCCTTCATCCTCTCACAGAGGAAGAGACTGAGACCAATAGAGGAGAAACTGCTCAATAGAGACTGAGTGCAGGGGGAACACCTAAACAGTGTTCAATGCCACAGGCAGCCACTCTTTCAACAAACATACTTCAAATTTAGGTCTGTTTCCTTTAATTCTCCTGCTACCACAGGTCTCTGAGTGTCAGCTCTCTGCCATCCACTCATTACCCCTAATTCTTACCAAATCTTCCCAGCTTAATATATGTCAGAATAACCAACTGCAGTGGGAAGGCTGGAGGACAGACTCCAACCCACCCCATGCTGGCATCCAAGGAATGGAAAGCCAGACATGTCATTGCCTTCTGAGCACTCCAGTTCAACTATTGGCATCGAGTTGGTCCCTGAGACTGGCCTACATGCAGGAAGAAGGGCATACCAGAAGTTCTGCCATTTAGGGCCTCAAGTCAGTGCCCAGAGAGACTGACAATAGAGGGACCTGGGTTCACAGTCCTGGATGCAACAGGAGGGAGCAAAGCGCCAGTCTCATGGAGGTGAGGGTGCCGGGAGCTCTCCCCCAAGGGCCAGGGGTAAGACGTCTATGGTGTCACAACAGAAGGAGCCTACCAGGGAGACAAATGACTTTTCTCTATCTAGCATGTCCTTGGACACCACCATCTCTAGGCCTCCTTAGCCTCTTTCCCAGAAGCCCAGGGGCTTACTTTCTCACAACGTCTTTGGCCATCTCTGAGATCTGGCTCCACTCTTCTTCTGGGAACTCAAAACTGCCTGTCATGATCTTTCTCCGCATGTCCTTTGGGATAGTCCGGCTGTGGTGTTTGGAGTAAAAAGGAGGGTATCCACATAGCATCACGTAGATAATCACCCCCAAGGACCATAAGTCACAGCTCTGAAAGCAAGAAAGAAAATGGTCACTTATAGCAGAGACAGACCCCAAAATAAGGCCTCCATGACAAGAACAGGAATAACCCTGACATACACAGACTGATACTTCCAAGAATCATTTAACAGAGACTGAAACAGTTTTAGGACATATTAGGAGAATTAACCTTTCTCTTCATACAAGGCCAGTCTGGAGTCAAATAGTCACTGTTATTCTCTCTGCTAAGGCCCAAGGTCCTTTTTTTTTTTTTTTTTAAAGAGAGAGTGAGAGAGGAGAGAGAGAGAGAGAGAGAGAGAGAGAAAGAGAATTTTTAATATTTATTTTTTAGTTCTCGGCGGACACAACATCTTTGTTGGTATGTAGTGCTGAGGATCGAACCCAGGCCGCACACATGCCAGACGAGCGTGCTACCGCCTGAGTCACATTCCCAGCCCCCAAGGTCCTATTTGATCCTTGAGTATACATAGGATACTATGCCCCCAGCCAGAGAAGTAATAGTTATAAACCAGCTAGCTATGAATCAAGTACTGTGTCACCCTGGGCAGGGTTGAGGGTACCCAAACAAACAAACAACAACAAAAAAAACCAGCTAAGATATATGCAGGCTGACCCCAGAACACAGCACAAACCATTTCAAAAAAGCTAAAACAGTTCCACACAGATCAGGGAAGGGCACTAGAAGAAAGAACAGGAGGTCTAAAAGTATTCCTTTGGCCACAAAAGACTCAGCCCATTTCTAAGACCTTATACAATTCTGGGGAAAGGTATTAAGAAACAAAGAAAACTGCCACCAACTATCATGTCTCTAGGTATTAAGGTAACCATATGGCCTACAATCACTGCATTATTATTAATACCGAAAGGATTCAATTCTAGTTAAATGAAATTTTACCTGCCTGGAAAAATGTATCTGCAGAGGCTTCTTGAATTGTGACAGAAGAGGTATCTGCCTGAGCAGGGTGACCCTGGGACCCTACCTCTGGAGACAGCGCTCCCTCTCATACCACAGCCATGTGCTGCTCAGAGAGAAGCCTGGAAGATAAGGTTAGCTCAGACACCCTCACCCGAATGGCACCACACTAGTGGGTATTTGTGGATGTCACGATGCCGGCTGTAGATTATTATTTAACTACAGAGGTGAAATGAAATCTTTAAAATGACCAAGTTCAAATCCCTCATTTACAGATGAGGTAAGTGATACTATAGATTTAAGAATGAAACTAGGATTGTGGTTGTGACTCAGTGGTAGAGCACTTGCCTAGCATATATAAGGCACTGGGTTTGATCCTCAGCACCATATAAAAATAAATAAAATAAAGGTATTTTGTCTACCTATAACTAAAAATAAAATTTAAAAATATTTTTTAAAAAGAATGAAACTAAGTGATCTAACTAGAGTCATGACACTCAAGAGTGGTGGAACCAGAGCAAGTCTCCAGCCTTCTTGCCAACCTCAGTTCCTTTTCTGTCATTTATGTCTAATCTCAAGTTCCCAAGTAGCATCATTTTTTTTTTCCTGACCTACTTAGCAACTTCAAGACAAATTTCCAGAGGCCCCAAAGCTCTTGTTCCTTAGAACAGAGATGTTCGGTATGTGGGCTATAAATGAGGAACTGTGATAATACCAAGTAACATGCAGAAACACTTGTTGTGTATACAGGATATTGTTCTAATTGGGTATTTCTTATGAGGTAAGAAAGAATGTTTACCATAAATGATCAGAATGCTCTCTAGCATTGGTACCTCAGAAATGATTTCCAATCTCAAAAAAAGCAAGGAACCTCGTCCTTTCAATGTGGTCAGTGGGCTACACAGCTAGCCAAATAAATAACCTGACAGGTGACTACAGCCCTTGGTTCCTGCTGCAAAAGCTAAATGAGGGAGTAGGAATGATAGTAAAATGAATCAGACATTATACCGTAAGTGCATATATGATTACATGACCTGTGTAATTCTACTTCATGTACAGCCAGATGAATGAGAAGTTATACTCCCTTTATGTTTGATGTGTCAAAATGCATCCTACTGTGATATATAACTAATTAGAACAAATTTTAAAAATCTTTTAAAAAAGGCATTGACCAAATAAAAGGACCACTGAATAAATATACATTTTAGATCCCTGTTACAACAACAAAAACCTAAATGAGTAAGAATTTGATTTCATATTCTTCAGCCAAAAACTTAAATTCCAAATAGTTTCTGCATTTCTGGCTGCTTCCTGTCTTTTGGGCTGAAATGTGAGAGAGTATGAATGAGACTGGCTACATTCCCAGAGGAGAGGGAGGGGCTGCATCCACAGGGTGAAAATAAATATCTCCTCCTACCTTGTTGTAAGTGTAGGGTGTTGGCGAGGTAGGTATGATGCCGGACTTCTCCTTCTGATGCCTTCTCTGCGCCTCCAAAACCTGTCAAGTCAGACCAAAAGGAAAAATTTACTGAAAATCACACCACTAATGTCCTGCAACTTGAGACAGACTACTGAAAGGCTGAAGAGGGCCTGCCAAACAACAATTGCAAAATAACTTAACATTAACAACATTTTTACAAATCATTTTTCTTCTTACAACCAGTAATTTATCATTCAGATCAAGGACATAAGATCAAATCCCTAATCTTAAGAGACTGAATCTTCTTTCTGTCAAGGAAACTGAGATCACTTGACTTTTTTCTGGGATGTACTCCATGCCTATGGGAAAGCACACCCACTGGGCAGAAAGTCAAGGTATTTGTCACCATCAGGGACTATAACAGTCACACTTGTTTGTGTGTTAATGTTCCAAAGAGATACCCCTGCCATCTGTAGGGCTATCATCCTGCCAAGCTCTCCACTGTTCCATGTAACAGGACCATAGGGCGAGAGGGACAAGCCTGGCAAGTCCTACATTGTTCTTTGAGATAGGAGGCTGAAGCTCTGTGCTAGTGTACTTTATCCCCACATCCAGACCCACTGGAACTATCTCAGTCCCTGTGCCCACTTAACTGCTGCTAATGGTAGATACTGGCAAGTACTACATCTTGGCCAAGGGCTACACTACCACCTTGGGCAACTCGGACAAGGTCACTTTCAATGCCCGCTCCAAGACCTACAGCTCTCTCACTAACAAGAATTCATTGACCATTTTGTAAAGACTTACACTAGAATCTCTATGCAGAGAACTGACCCAGTCTCTAGCTATAGCCAATACATACAAAATAAGGTGAATGAAACCTGAAAAAAGTTATTTATAACCACATAAAAGCCATTAAACATTAATAATAAATCAATCAAAAGATGGAAAAAGGGCTGGGGATGTGGCTCAAGCAGTAACGCGCTCACCTGGCATGCGCGGGGTGCTGGGTTTGATCCTCAGCACCACATAAAATAAAGATGTTGTGTCCACCGAAAACTGAAAAATAAATATTTTTTTAAAAAATTCTCTCTTTCTCTCTCTTTAAAAAAAAAAAAAAAAAGATGGGAAAAGCCAGGCATGATGGCATACACCTGTAATTCCAGCAACTCGGGAGGCTGAGGCTCTTGGATCAAGTCCAAGGCCAGCCTGGGCAATTTAGCAAGAACCTGCCTGAAAATAAAATCAAAAGGGCTGGGAATGCAATCCCAGCCTAGGAGCTCTTGCCCAACATGTGTAAGGCCCTGGGTTCAATACCCATTACAAAAAACAAAAACAAAAAATACTATATTGAAAACTACACAAATATTTATTTTTTTCTTTCTTTCTGTTTTTTTGGTACCAGGGATTGAGTTTAGGGGTACTCAACCACTCGAGCCACATCCTTCAGCCTTTTATTGTATTTCATTTAGAGACAGGATCTCACTGAGTTGCTTAGCTTCTTGCCGTTGCTAAGGCTGGCTAGGAACTCACAATCCTCCTGCCTCAGCCTCCCAAGACACTAGGATTTCAGGCATGCGCCAATGCACCTAGCTTACACCAATATTTCTGAGAGAAATTATGAGACAAAAACAAATGAAGTGATACAATCTACTCAAGGGTGAAAGGTTTAATATTAAGGGGGTCAGTGTTCCCAGATAGAACTTAAAACAACCCTAGTCAAAATCCCAGCAGACTTTTTAAACAGAAATTAACAGTGAATTCTTAAGTTCATATGGAAATGCAAAAAATCAGAACAGCCAAAACAACTCTGAAAAAGAAGTACACTAAGACTACCTGATTTCAAGAATTATTATAAATCTACAGTAATCAAAACACTGCAATAGTGGAGTAAAGACAGATAAAGAAATCAATGGGGGGCTGGGGCTGTAGCTCGGAGGCAGAGCACTTGCCTAGCACGTGTGAGCACTGGGTTTGATCATCAGCAACTCATTAAAAAAAATAATAAAATAATAAATTAAATAAAGTCATTCTGTCCATTTACAACTACAAAAAATAAAAAAATAAAAGAGATCAATGGGGATTTGAGAAATAAATCCATACATAAATTGTGGGAAGCCATTCTCACACGTGACTGGGCAACTCCCGGTTTGGGTCTGAGGCGCTCTGGCTAACTGTGTCGGAGCTTCCCCGGCCCTCTCCTGATGAGATAGCCTGTCCGTGTGGGGGTGTGACTGACCACTGACCCCGGGGGCCAATCACTGACCCTGACCTTGGAGTGCAGCCCCCCTCAACCTTCATTGGATGGAATTCTCCCCTGAATTTCTTGTTCCCTAATAAAAGGCTACTCCTTGGCGTGCTCTCTCTCTCTCTCTCCTGCTAGCCCTGAGTAATCCTTGCTGCCCTACCGCGTGGTTCGAGGTGGAAACCAGAGAGGGGAGCCGTCTTGGACCTGGTCATAGAAAAAGGTAACTGAGTCTGTGTGTTTTATTTAGATCTCGCTAGCTAACTTTTATGCCAAGAACCTCTTTAATGAAACCATTGCGCTGGTCGCATGGTGAAATAAATGTTGAAATTATTTGGGGAAGGGGCAGTACCCGGGGGAGGGGGGGCGGGGGGGGTGTCTTTACACTAAGCTATATCTCCAGCCCTTTTAAATTTTATTTTAAAAATTTATTTATTTTTAGACATTGTCTCACTAAACTGCTGAGGCTGGTCTCAAACTTTCAATCCCCCTGCCTCAGCCTCCTGAGTCACTGGGATTATAGATAAGTGTGTGGTGGCATAATGGGATTGTTCAACCAAATTTTGACAAAGATTCAAAAACAATACAGTAGAGGAAAGATAACCTTTGAAAAAAGTGAAGGTTAAAAAGTGAACTTGAGCGGATGGGATTGTGGCTCAGTGGTAGAGCGCTTGCCTAGCAAGTGTGGGGCGCTGGGTTCAATCTTTAGCACCACATAAAAATAAAATAAAGGTATTGTGTCCAACTACAACTAAAGCAAAATATTTTTTAAAAAAGATTAAAAAAAGTGAACTTGGGTTCATACCTTATAATGTATAATGTATACAAAAATTAACTCAAATGGATCACAGACCTAAATATAAAACCTAAAACTATATAAAATTTCTAGAAGAACACATGGTATAAAATTTTTGTGATCTTGAATTAAACAATGTTTTTACATAGGAAACCAAAAACATAGGACATTAAAAAAAATTCAGATAAATTGGTCTTCATCAAATTAAATCTGCTCTTCAAAAGACTGCTAAAAAATGAAAAGATAGCCGGGCACAGTGGCACATGCCTGTGATCCCAGCAGCTCAGAAGCCTGAGGCAGGAGAATCACGAATTCAAAGCCAGCCTCAACAACAGCGAGGCACTAAGCAAATCCATGAGACCCTGTCTCTAAATAAAATACAAAACAGGGCTGGGGATGTGGCTCAGTAGTTAAGTGCCCCCAAGTTCAATCCCCGATACCCACCCCACCTCCCCCCCAAAAAGATGAGCCACAGACTGGAAGAAAGTCTTTGCAAAGTACATACCTAAGAAAGGATTTATATTCAAGATATATAAAAAACTAAAATTAAAAATAAGAAAACAAAAATTTCAATTTAAAAAATGAGAAAAAATTGAACACATACTTCAGTGAAGAAAATATAAAGAAAAGAAGCATACGAAAAGATGTTCAACATCCTTAGTTATTAGAGAAATGTAAATTAAAACCACACGAAATACTACTACGCATCCACTGAAGTGGCTAAAATTAAAAAGAATCACCATTACAAATGCTGGTGAGAATACAGAAGATCTAAAACTTTCATACACTGCTGGTAGAAATGTAAAATGATACAGTCACTTTGCAAAACAATTTAGTTTCTTTTTTCTGCGGTACTGGAAACTGAACCCAAGGACTTGAGCATGCAAAGTAAGTGCTCTACGACTACATCCCCAAACCTTTTTAAATTTTTACTTTGAGGCAGTTGCCCAGGTAGGCCTCCAACTTGCAATACTGCTTCAGCCTCCTGAACAGCTGGGATTACAGATGTGTGTCATAGTGCCTGGCCAACTTGGTAGTTTCTAAACAAGTTAAACATACACCTACTACACGATCTTGCCACTCCACTTCTAGGAGTTTGCCCAAAAGAAAAAGAAATAAAACTATACAAATGTTTATAAGAGCTTTTTTGTAACAGCAAGAAAATGGAAAAAAAAAAAACTATCAATAGATGAATGGATAAACCAATCATGGTTATATCATATAACAGAATCCTTTTCAAGAATAAAAAGGAATAAATTAGTGATACATGCAACAACATGAATAAATCATAGTCAAAGCAGCCCCCCAAAATCCAAGTGGGTGGTTAATGCCTATAATCCCAGTTAGTCAGGAGGCTGAGGCAAAAGCAAGTTTGAGGCCAGCCTGGGCAACCTAGCAAGATTCTGTTTCAAAATTAAAAAGTATAAAGGGCTGAGGCTGTAGCTCAGTGGTGGAGCACCTGCCTAGCAAGTGTGAGGCCCTAGGCCCAATACCCAGTACTGAAAAATTATTAAAAAGTACTTACTTAGGGGTAGAAAAATCATGGCTCCCAAAACCTGCAAATGAATGTTCCTAGCGGCTTTATTCATAACAGTCAAAAACAGGAAACAATCCAAAATGGCCATCAATCTGTGCACAGAAAAACAAACGTAGTCTGGCCCTATCGTGGACTTACAATAAAAGGGAACTAACTATTGATAAACATAGCAACGTGAACCAACCTTCAAAACATGCTGAGCACAAGAGGTCAAATGTGAAAAGTCCTTGATTCCATTTTTCTGAAATTTGACAACAGGCTTAACTAACCAATGATAGAAAGCAGAACAGTGTTTCCCCGAGGCCAGGGTTAGTTTTGCAGGGGACTCAGTGCAAAGGGACATAAAGCTATATGTGAAGCAACAGAAAAGTTCTACATGGAAATCTTCATTGTGGTAGTGGTCGTGTGGAATACGTATTTGTCAAAATTCATCAAATTTTACCTAAATAGGAGTACAGTAGTCTCCTTTATCTGTGTTTTCACTTTCTACAATTTCAATTGAGGTTAGCTGAGGTTAACCACAGTCCAAAAAATTAAATGGAAAATTCCAGAAATAATTCATGAATTTTAAATTGTGCACAGTTCTGAATAGTGTGATGAAATCTTACACTGTCTTGGGCCATCTTGCTCAATTCACCCTAGGATTGAGTCACTCCTTTGTCCAGCATATCCACACTATATCCACTATCCATCTGCTTGTTAGAGAAACTTAGTAGCTAGCTTGGTTACCAGACCAACTGTTATCTCAGTACTACAGTGCTTGTGTTCAAGCATAATAACATAATAACAGCCCAGCCACAAACTGAAAGAGTACTGATGCTGGCAATTCAGAGATGTCAAAGAGAAGCCATGAAGTGCTTCCTTTAAGTGAAAAGGCTAATGTTTATCAAAGGTGTGTGTGTATAGGAAAAAATAGAGTACATATAGGGATTGGGTCTTATCTTTGATTTTAGGAGGTTCTGGAATATATTCCCCAGAGATATACGACCACAGCATTTTACTGTTTATAAATCATACCTCTAAATCAACCTCAGTAAAAGTTGATTTTAAAAGAATGAAGTATCTAAACCAAATGAAGCAATCTGTAGGTTTCTGAAGCTGACGTCTGTAGCACAAGCTTACTTTTGCTATAGAACAGAAGGGACATAAATCTATGGCAGTTTAGTAACACATCATTGGGAAGAAAGAGCACATGCTTACCTGAGGTGCTACATAGTAAGGGGTGAACTGAGGTGTCATCAAGTCACCTTGGTCAATTTTAGCAAATCCAAAGTCACACAGCTTCACTGGAGCATCCTGAAATTAACAAAAAAAGGGGAGTGGGGGGTTGGTGTCACTACTCCAGAGTTCTCAGTATATATTAAAGGAAAATTCAGGGCTCAGGCTATAGCTCAATTGGAGAGTGCTTGTCTGGCACGTGTGAGGTACTGGGTTTGACCTGAGTACCACATTAAAATAAATAAATAGGGCTGGGACTGTGACTCAGTGGTAGTGTACTTGCCTGGCATGTGTGAGGCACTGGGTTCGATTCTCAGCACCATATATAAATAAATAAAATAAAGGTTTATCAACAACTAATAAGGAAAGAAAGAAAGAAAGAAAGCAAAGGCATTGTGAACATCTACAACTTAAAAAAAGAAAAAAATATAAATAACCCGGAAAGTTCAGGTTCAAGACATGTTACCCTGAGCCCTTACAGGTTTCTGGATGAAATCTGAGACCTAAGCCTGTGGATAATATGCACCCAGCTCTGGAGACAAGGATTCATATTCAGGGATTGTTCTTAGTAATAAGAGGAATTTATTCCTACTCACCTAGCTAGCCTTGTGTTATAACTTGGAAATGCAGCTCTAAAATCAAGGGCTTAGCCTGCTGCCCCCTTGCTCTGTAGGCCCACCAACTCTCACCAGTCCAGGACACTGCTTCACTCTGAACATCAGTCCTAAGCTCTATGACAGCCAGAGCAACTTAGGTGGTAGGACATAGTGCAGGGGGCAAGGGGCAGGACTGAAGGGAAACACACACCTTATCAGAGCTAACAACAAATGAAACTGTCGCAAGTTTCAAGGTGATGTATAACAGCATACAAACGCCTGCCCCTTCCCAAAAGCCCTCTAAATCATATTAAAAATCCTAAGTCCCACAAACACATATTGGTATCATCCAAAATTACTAATGCCAGGGGTTGGTACAATTCCTCTGAGCCTCCCTCCTCTAATGGGATGAATGGAAGAAATAAACTATCAGAAGCACTTTGTCCTAAAGCCTCTTCACCATGGATTAGGAGCACCCCAAACAGACATAGCCACTCCTGAGTTATGTTAAGAGTAGAAGCACTAAAATGCAGAAATGCAAGATTTCTTACCAAAGAGTTATCCTTGAAAAGGAGATTTTCAGGCTTGAGGTCTCTGTGCGCAATATTTAACAAGTGACAGTGCTGTAGAGCCAGAGCTATCTGAAAAAGGACACAGTGGAGCAGCCACCTCTTAGAAAAGAACAATATTTAATGTCCCTAGTATAGAGAAAGAGGTGTTTAAAAATAATCCTTCATTAAAGTCAATTAAAAATGTGGTCAGTTTCCATTTCAAAGCAGAAATTAATAAAGGCTTGAGGTACCAAGAAACAGAAATGAATTAAGCTTAGTTTAATTGCAAACTATATTTTGCTAGACCAAAAGAAAAATATGCCAGTAAACAATATTTTGCCAGAATAAACTGATGGTTACATCCTGTAAGAAATGAAAAAATTAAATGTTCCCATTTTTATTCATCTGAGATGTAATAGGCACTGCAGAGGAAATGCTGAGCTGGGCAATCTTCAGCAGGCACAGGTTCCCCCACCAGGGCAGTGGCAGGACCCGGCTTAGGAAAGTGGCACTCTCTAAGAAGCTGAATGGAAGGCTTTGCCTTCAAACCAGCTGGCTGTTTTTTTCCAACTGATATTCCAATTTGCTCATCTTACTTGTTGAAAATGTTGTCTGTTTGTATAAATTTGAGGGGCTTTTGTTTTACAGAAGACTTTCAGAGATCATTCTTTAGTCCTAATATTTAAAAAACAAAAGTTGTAATTTTAAGAAACAAATACAAAGAAAAATTCTATTGTTCTTCAATTCTAGGTGGAATTTTCAGCAATCCAAATATCAGTTCCTCCCTAATCAATCAGAAAGAAAGTGTCCAAAAATGCCTGCAAAATGCCCCCAGAAAATTTGGAAGTGCTTTTCATTAAAGCCTAATTAGGCTGTGCTTCCTGCTTTTCTTTGCCCTGCTTGCCTAGTCTGAAGGTAGACCTTGAGCTTTTAGCTTTTCACCTCCAGAAGAGATTAGTACCAATTAGAGTCCTACTATTGTTTGTAACATAATTCATTTCTATAGCAATAAAATGTGATGTCAGGATAAAGAAAATAACTAGGAATGACCCAGAATTACAAAGCTCTTTTTAAAAAAAATTTATTTATGTATCTTTAGTTTTAGATGAACACATTATTTTGTTTTTATGTGGTGCTGAGAATCGAACCCATGCCTCATGCATGCTAGGCGAGCACTGAGCCACAACCCCTAGCCCCAAAGATCTTAGAAAAATCTGCAGAAATGTGAGGAAGCTGACTCATGTGCAGGAAGCGTCTTCTGTACCGTTATCTTACAACAGATTTTATACCATACAATCTTCAGGTGGTATCAACAACATTTGAACTCAAAAGTCTAATAATAGTGTTTGGAAGCTAGATATCCAAAGATATTAAAAGAGATAAGGAGGTGAATTATCTTCCTTTCAGAGTTTACTTAAATCATACAAAAGGCCTCAGGAAAACATTGACAACAATTAAGAATACAGTCCTCCCCCCATAGAGTAAAAGGAGTCACATTTCTCCTGTTAAGATATTCTTTCTGATTACATAACAAAGCAGGCAATGTGAAGTCAAATAGAGCTTTTCTTTAAGCTTTCTTTTATTTCCCCTAATGAATTGTGCTTGTTAACCAACTTTGTTGGCAGTTTGATTGGTACCCGGGGTTAACTTGCCTGCTTTGTTACTTGGCTGGCTTGCTTCTCTGTAAAGTGCCGGTGCTGGCTGATTCTGTGAAATAGCTCTCCCCCTTCCATCATCTCCATTACAATTAAGAGTCGAGCCCTGTTTGAAAGCATTTGATTTTGTTAAGTTAAAAAAA